CCCCCCAGAGGCTGAAGCTCAGCCTCGAGGCTGTAGCTGAGACTCCTTGAAACTCACACGCCGGATCGGCGGACTAATAATAATAATACGAATAATAATAATAATATTACTAATAATACTACTAACAATCATAGGAGGAGGATAAGGGGGACTAGGAGGAGGAGGAGGAGGAGGAGGAATAATAAGCAGACAAACCATACCAGTAATCGTAAGAAACATAATATGAAGAGGAGGAGGAGGAGGCAGGAGGAGGAGGAGGAAGGAGGAGGAGGAGGAGGGGAGGAGGAGGAGGAGGAGGAGGAGGAGGAGGAGGATGAGGAGGAGGAGGAGGGAGGAGGAGGAGGAGGAGGAGGAGGAGGAGGAGGAGGAGGAGGAGGAGGGACTACGAGGAGGCGGAGAGGAGGAATAGGAGGAATAGGAGGAGAAGGAGGAGGAGGAGGAGGGGAGGAGGAGGAGGAGGAGCAGCAGAAGGAGGAGCAGGAGAAGGAGGATGCTTCTTGGGGCCTTCTTGGGCCTCCTGGGGGTCCTCTGGGAGCTTCCCGAAAGCTTCTTTTGGGACCGCTTTGGGGAAAGTGCGCGCCAGTGGATCTCCCTGAATACACTAGGGGGGGGGTGGGGTCCAGAACCCCCCCACCCCCTCCCTCCTTCAAGGGGGTGGGGTGGTGGGGGGTCCGGGACCCCCCCCCCCCTCCCCCCTTAACGGGGGTGGGGAGGTCCCGAACCCCCGCCCCCCCTTCCTCCCTTGAAGGGGGGGGGGGTGTCCGGACCCTCCCCCCCTCCCCCCCTTGGCGCTGGAAAGGGGAGGGGGGGTTCGGACCCCCCTCCCCCTCGTGTAGTGTAGGGAGTACGGAGTTGGGAGTAGGGAGTGGTGAGTAGTGAGTGGTGAGTTAGTGCGTAGTGAGTAGTGAGTATTGGGTAGTGAGTAGTAGTGAGTAGTGAGTATGAGTAGTGGGTAGTGAGTGGCGAGTAGGACGTAGCGAGTAGGGAGTGGGGAGTAGTGAGTAGTGAGTGGTGAGGAGCGAGTAGCGAGTAGTGTAGCGAGTAGGGAGTAGGGAGTAGCGAGTAGGGAGTGGGGAGTAGTGAGTAGTGAATAGTGAGTACTTCGTGTGTACTGATAAGTGAGTAGTGAGTGGCGAGTAGTGAGTTGTGAGTAGTGAGGAGCGAGTAGCGAGTAGTGAGTACTGAGTAGGGAGTAGGGAGTAATGAGTACTGGGTAGTGAGTAGTGGGTAGTGAGTAATGGGTTGCGAGTAGTGATTCGTGAGTAGTGAGTTGTGGGTGGTGCGTGGTGCGTAGTGAGTAGTGAGTAGTGGTTAGTGAGTAGTGAGTAGTGAGTAGCGAGTAGTGAGTAGTGAGTGGTGAATAGTGAGTAGTGAGTACTGAGTAGTTCGTAGTGCGTAGTGCGTAGTGAGTAGTGAGTAGTGAGTAGTGATGAGTAGTGAATAGAAAGTAGTGGGTGGGGGCAGTGGGTAGTGAGTAGTGAGTAGCGAGTAGTGAGTAGCGAGTAGTAAGTAGATTGTAGTCAGTAGTGAGTAGTGGGTAGTGATTAGTGACTAACGAGTAGGGAGTAGCGAGTAGTGAGTAGTGAATAGTGAGTAGTGAGTGCTGAGTAGGGAGTAGGGAGTAGTGAGCAGTGAGTAGTAAGACGTGGGTAGCGAATAGTGGGTAATGAGTAGCGCTTGGTGAGTAGTGGGCAGTGAGTAGTGACTAGTGACTAGTGACTAGTGAGTTGTGACTAGTGGCTAGAGACTATGTAGTGGCTAGTGAGTAGGGAGTAGTAAGTAGTGAGTAGTGAATAGTGAGTAGCGGGGAGTAAGTAGTGAGTATTGAGTAGCGAGTATTGGAGTAGCGAGTAGCGAGTACTGAGTACTGTGTAGTCAGTATTGTGTAGGGCGTAGGGAGTAGCGAGAAGCGAGTAGTCGGTAGTGAGTAGTGATTTGTGGGCAATGAGTAGTTAGTAGTGAGTAGTGAGTAGTGGATAGTGGGTAGTGGTAATGAGTAGTAATTATTGAGTAGTGAATAGGGAGTAGTGAGTAGTGCTTAGTGAGTAGTGAGTATTGAGTAGGGGGTAGTGAGGAGCGAGCAGTGAGTAGGGAGGAGGGAGTAGTGAGTAGGGAGTAGTGAGTAGCGAGTAGTGGGTGGTGGGTAGTGAGTAGTGGATAGTGAGTAGTGAGTAGTGAGTAGCGACTGGCGAGTAGTGAGTAGGGGGTAGTGAGTAGGGGGCTGGGGTTAGTGGTTAGGGGGTAGGGGGCCCCTCGTGACTTCCTTTGGGGCTGGGGTTAGTGGTTAGGGTTCGGATTCGGGGTTTGGGTTCGGGTGAGGACTAGGGGTAGGGGTGGCGGGGGTCGGGTTCCGGCGTCAGGGGGCGGCGTGGCGAAAGGGGGGGAGGGGGGGGTTCGGACCCCCCCCCCTTTTGGGGGGGGGGGTCCCCGACGACGGATCGGGGAAAGGGGGGGTTCTCCGACGACGGATCGGGGAAGGGGGGGAGGGGGGGGGCGACGACGGACGGGGAAAGGGGGGGGGGGGGGGGGGGGGGGGGGTCCTAACCCCTCTCCCTTGGGGAGATCCAGCGGCGCACCCTCCCGCTTTGGGGCCTCTTGGAGCCTCTCGGGCCGTCTTAGGGTGACGCTCTTGTCTCTTCTGACGCCCATGTCGGCCGCCTTGGGGGCCTCTCTAGGGCGAGGTGGTGCCCTTTTGGAGCGGTTCACGGCCGTCTTGCGGCCCTCTTCGGAGCCCCTTGGCCGATCTTTGGCGATTTTGGGCCGACTTGAGGCACTCCTGGGGGTCCCTTGGGCTGTCTTGGAGCTATCTAGGGGGCCTCTTGGAGGCTTCTTGCGCCGTCTTGGGCGGTCGGAAACCCGAGCAGGCGAGAACCTGAACACCCTTCAACCAGAGCGACGAGAGACCCATTTGTAAGTGCTCCACGGTTTACGGGCTGTACACAGAACTGAGGGGTTGAGACATTGACGAGAGGACCTCTGGACATGCTGTTTTCTGGGGCTCTGCGGTGAAGGGTTCGTCCGCTTTGAAGGCCACTTTTATGCGTGAGCTGTATCGCGAGTTTGCCCTCCATGAGGGGGCGGCGTCTGTGGCGCTGCGCTGGGCCAGGTGTATGGACTACCCTCCCCACCTCCTTTATCTCGGAATGCTGATCCACACCTCCCCCCGAATGCTGGATGTAGAAGGTCATGTTCTCCCGGAGATCGGCGCGGGGGTGGGGTCTTTCCTGGATATTCCCGGAGCATGCGCTGGGTCAACATCTATGTGTACGAGGGAGGCTCTGGGAGCCTGTCATGTCGCCTTGGACGGAGAGTTCAGTAGAGTTTGCACCCGTGCCTGTGTGCGTGACATTTCCCAGCGTATGCAGGGCAAGGCGGAAGAGCCCCCTGCGCAAGTTAACCCTGCTACTGTTCGGCTCGGCCACGAGATCGAAAAGCTCAATTGCTGAGCTAGTGAGAAATCAGCCTTAGATTGTTCCTCTAAGGCCCTGGGCTTGCGCATCGACAACCGACTCCGAGCCGTGCCCCCCCCCATCCAGTCTAAAAGCCACACTGGGACTTAGGCGCCGCGACGGTGGCTGGAAGGAGGCGGAGGGTGACTGGGGTAGCCAAGCGGAGGCAAGAAGGAATCTAGGAGGCGCGCGTCCGAGGTTGAGTATCTGACCGAAAGCTCCCAAACTTTTCAAGCCAGTTGTGCTGGCTGTCGGCTCCTGGGGGCCTTAAGTTGTTGGGCTCTCCCCTCATCAACTTTGGGCTTTTCGAGGGCAGGCTGCCCAGTGCTCTGGGTGGTGGAGCTCAGGAGCCTGTTCCACCACAGATGCATTCCTTGATTTGTAACTTTCGGGGGGGCCCATTTTTTAGGCTGAGGCACGAACGCCTTGCTATGCTTTACAAGCTGTGGCTGGCCGTAGACCCTCATGAAAAGATGCAGCTCTCCCGAGTTTGGCTGTGATCTGACCAGTTGTTTTTAAGTCATCCCTGCCACTTGCCAACGGTTGAGGGTGAGAGGACCCGCGATCGCAACGGTCGCGATCCTTCGCGACTTGGGCTGGATTTTTGATTCCCAATATAATTGGTTTGGCGAGTTTGGTTTCCCCATGCCACTGGAGGTCAAAGATTTTCGGTTTCATTCGTGGAGGGCCCGTGGGGTCAGCTGTGCCAGCTGGACTTTAGCTCTTCCTCAGAAGTTCCTCACAAAGTTTGGGAAGGAGCTTGACTATGCATCCCGAGCCATTTTGCGTACCACTGTGACAGGGGAGTGTTGGTCTGAGTCGAGACTGTTCGCGGCAAGGTACTGCGCGATGTAGTTGTGCCCGAGGTGCGGACCCGTCCACCGTTTTTGGAAGTGCTGTGCCAACGTCTCGCTGGCTGGACGATTCGGCCGTTCAGGCCACTGCTTCTTGGGCGTCTCTTGGGCGCCTCTTGGGCCGCCCTGGGGGCCATCTTGGGTGTCAGAAGGTTTTCGAATTCGTCGTGGAGCTTTCGGGAACATGCTGGGGTAGCAAGGGGGGCCCGGGAGAGCCGGACCCGCTCTGGGAGGGGCCCCCTGGGTGAGTTCGGCCAGGGGTCGTTCACCACCTACCAAACCACCCCAACCCAACCCGAAGGCCTCAATTTGCCCTCCATTTCCAGTGGGGGGGGGGGGTCGGGGAACGCTGAAAAAACACATGGAACCCGTACCCCCCCCAACCCGAAATTCGGGTCAGATTCGGGTCTTCGGGTTGGGTTGGGGTGGTCTGGTAGGTAGTCAGTCGTACGAGGCCAGGAGGGGGGCGGTCAAATTCCTTGTGTCGAGGCCCTGGGGGGGGGTATTACGGAGGGAGGGATCTCACACGCCTGGAGACCCACAGGGGGGTCGGCGGACTGTCCCCGAGCGCGACAGAGTCGTCTCCTCGCGCCCTGGCTCGCTCTTGGTCACCGCGCTCTCGCCGAAGCCGAAACCGAAACTCCTCGGACGACGACGAGGAGGAGGAGGAGGAGGACAACGATGCCTCCGTCCCGAGGTGTACAACCTGTGCGCGGAGCGGGTGTATAACGACCCCAACGCCTTCGAGGAGGTCTACACCAAGGTGCGGTTCCCAGGCCGCCCCGTTGCAGGGTCCGTGGTGCGCGTGCAGCTCAGAGGAGGAAAAGGTACCGATACCGCTGCCCGTTTCTCTCTTTCCAATGTTTGGGCCTCCTGGGAGGCCTTCGTCGCCACGGCTGGATTGGCCTCGAAATCCTGGTCAGAATTCGCCCAAGGAGAGGTCCGGGAATATGGGTATCGACACCTTTGGCTTCCCCGCGGTCGTCGTTGTAATCGTTCTCGTTGTCGTCGTTGCTGTCAGCGTGGTCGTCAACGGGGAAGCGCCTCCTTCCTCCTCCTCCTCCTCCCCATTTTTTATCTAATAGAGTTTCGTCAGAGGGTTCTAACAGAGTTCAAGGATTCCTCTCACCAGAATCTCCGCAGGGGGGCCAGGGGGAGGCGTCTTCCAGGCCCGGCGACGGTCTGGTAGAGCGGTCCAGCAGCGCTCACAATGGTGTTCAGGTTCGATTTGGTCCAGAAGTGCGACTCACTATTGTGTTCTAGCTCGATTTCAGCCCTCGCAGATCCGGAGATGGGATCCACTAAGGTGTTCCAGCTCGATTTGGCTCAGACATGCGACCCATTGGTGTGTTTTGGTTTGATTTCAGCTGAAATGGCTTTTCCCTGGGGCTCGCATCCTATGTGTTTTACGTAGGTTTTATATATTGCCCTCTACTGTGGCTCGAATCCTTTTGGTTTTAGGTCTGTAGATATTCGGTCAGATTTCGGCTGATATGCTCCTTTCCTGGGGCTCCACAGCCGTGTGGTTCACATGTATTCCTATCGATTGTCCTTCTACTGTGGTTCGAATCCTATGTGTTTTATGTCTATTCTTAGAGATTGCCCCTTCCCTCGGGCTCGAATCCAATGTGTTTTACGTATGTCCCATAACATTCCCATCTCCTGTGGCTCGGATCCGATGTGTTCTATGCGTGTTCCTACATCTTGCCCGCTTTCCTGGGGCCCGAATCAGATGTGTGTTTACATGTGTTCTGGTATACTGTCCCTCTATTGTGGCTCGAATCCTAATTGTTTTTGATATGCTCCTGTATGCTGTCCCTCTCCTGTGGTTCGAATCCTGTGTGTTTTACTTATCTTCCTCTAGATTGCCCCTCTCCGGTGGCTCGAGTCGCATGTGTTTTACGCCTGTTCCTATATTGCCCTTTTCCTTGGGCTCGAATTCCATGTGCTTTACTAATGTTCTTGTAGCTTGCCCCTTCCCTGGGGCTCGAATCAGATGTGCTTTGCGCATGATTATATATATGGCCCCTGTCATGTGGCTCGAATCCCATGTGTTTTACATATGTCTTCCAGATTACTCGAAACATACCTTCCGCTCATCACGCCCATCATCCTCATCACCGCCCCCTCCCAGCAGCAGCAGCAGCAGCAGCAGCAGCAGCAGCAGCAGCAGCAGCAGCAGCAGCGACTGAAACAGCAGGAGCAGCAACGACACCATTCAGCACCAGGGGCTTCATCACCATCATCCGCATCATCAACGGCGGCGCTGTTCAGTCTCCACACCTTAGCTGCCATTAGGGTGCTTTGCTGGGGTAATCTTCCTCCAAGGGGAGGAGGGGCATTGATCGTGATGGTGGTGATGATGGTTACTCCCTCCTCCCTCCTCCAGTCCTGCTCCTGTCCTCATCCTACTTCTTCCTGCTTCTCCTTTTCCTCGCCCTCCCACCTTCTCCTCCCTCCTCCTTCACCATCGCTCATCCTTTGCCTCTCCTCCTTCCGCCCTTCTCTCCTCCTCATCCTCTCTCGTGCTCCCCCTTGTCTTCCTTGCTCTCCTCCTCCTCCTCATCCTCCTCCTCCTCCTCCTCCTCCTGCTCCTCCTCCTCCTCCTACTCATCCCTCCTCCTTCCCCGCAGCGGTGTTTCCAGGGAGCCCTCCAGCAATTCTCTCGTTTTGTCAAATAGTTGCTCAGACCTTAAGTGGTAGACCACGGTGGTACTCGAGGTCACTGGTCCCACCAAATGCGTTGAGGCGCCCCAGAACCACATCACTTGAAGTCCTTCTTCTCCCTCTCCTGTTCCTCTTCCTCCTCCTCCTCCTCCTCCTCCCTGTCCTCACTCTCCTCCGTCGTTTCTATCCTCCTGCTCCTCCATTTTCTGACACCCTCGCCAGACCACAATCCATGCCAGCTGGCCGACTTGGAGACCATCTGCACGGTCCCCGGGGGAGCTGGAGAGGCGGACGGCGGAGGGGCCGTGGATGGGCAGGGAGGGGAGAGATACGCCTGGCACGAGGGTTAAGAGTATCACCCGTCAGGTGTCCGCAACACATGGATCAAGGGTGCGTGGATTAGCGACGGGTCCCGTTTCCATGGGACGTCGCGGATTTCCGCTGCCGAACGAGGCGGCACCGGCCGCACTTCGGGGAGGGCACCTCCCCAGATCCATGGATTTGGCGACCGCGCGCCAAATCCATGGATCGCTAATCCATGTTTGCGCGCCCCCGAGTACAGTGGAAACCAATGCGAAGAAACCCTGTTTGCCTCCAGGGTGCCCTGGGTTTCTTGGGTCTCGATGGTTCTGCTGTGGGAAGCGTGACGTTCCCACTCCAAAAATCCATTGGCGTCCTGGGGTCTCAGGGTTGAGTTTTTCGTGGAAGGTTTCTCTGGGTCGAGCTCGTACTGTCAGGAGGGGAAAAAACACAGACACAATTCATCGTCGATGCCCAGGAAAATATGGGAACATATGGGAAGTGGGGGGGAAGACGAGAATCCAAACAGTACCTGAAAATATGGGGAATCCTGGGATTTGTGTGTATTTGTTTGTGTGTCCCTGGGCCCCTTCATATTATACCCTCACGCATGCGCTTCGTGCTCGGGCACTTCTCCAGGGACTGCTCTCCACGGGGGCCTGGGGCCTTCGGCGAGGGGGCTCGCGTTCTTGGCCCCGCGCTCTCGTGGCCACTGGCTTCGGCGGCAGGGCGGCAGGGAGGAAGGCAGGGAGGGCGGAGGGTGGCAGCGGATGGCCACGCCCGTGCCTCGTGGACCGCGCGTATGCGCGTATGCGCGTGCGCGCGCGCTTTTTTCGTCGGCGGCGGGGCAGAACGGCTGCACCAGCGATGGAGCTACACGGGGGCACCGAAGAGCGAATTGGCCATCATGCAGGAGGGGGAAGAGGACGGACAGGGTGGCCGCGGAGGGGGCAGAGAGCCGGGGCCACTCAGAGGCGGCTGACTTCCGTCCCGAGTGAGCTGGCGCGGCCTGCCCCGTCAGCGGAGACCGTGGCAGCAGCTGGGCCGCGGCGCCGGGGCACCCACGGGCGGTGACGGGGCCCAATACGGGGAACAAGTACTGCAGTGTGTGTGTGTGTGTGTGTGTGTGTGTTTGCGCCTCGCTTCAAACTTCCCGCGTCGAGCTTTCGTCCTGCGGGTTCTTTGGCTGCTGCACTTTGGCCTTGCAGCGCCTCCCGCTTTTCCACCTCCACGTTGTACGGCCGTGACTGGATTCTTTCGTCATGGTGCGTTCGACTAAGTTCGTTCGCACTTGGCACCTCCACTTGCCGACCGCGCCTGCGACGCCAGACGCGTGAGCGTACGCGTGCGAGCGCGCGTGCGCGTGCACGTGTGCGCGTGCGCGCGTGAGTGTGCATGTGGAGAGGTGAAAGATCCTGACCTCCGACGCGCGATGCTTTCACAACCTGTGGCGCAGTAGGTCAGACCTTCTCCCTGGGGCCGCCTCCTCCTCCCTCGTCCTTGTCCCAGAGCGCCGTCTCGGCGAGGGGAAGGCGGATCATGCTGAGGAGTGGGAGGAGGGTGAGGAGGGATGACGCATGATGACGACGATGATGCTGATGTTGTTGCTGGTGCGGCTGCAGATGATGGTGATACGCATGGCGAGGGGAAGATTCCGATGGTGATGCGGCTGGTGATGTTGAACATGCTATTGAGAATGACGATGCTGCAGGCGATTTGATGGTGCTGGTGATGATGTAGATGCTGATGGTGATGCTGATCGCGATGGCGATCTGTTGATGATGGTGATGCTGCTGATGATGATGATGGCCATGATGCTGATGATGATGGTACTGATGATGATGGTGATGATGATGTCGATGTCGATGACAGTGCCGATCATGAGAACAATGCACATGCGTGTGGTGGGGATGGTTGTCGTGGTGATGATGGTGATGATGACGACACTGCTGATAGCGGTGATGATGGTGGCGATGCTGATGACGGCGATGACGATGATGATGATGATGAGGGTGATGCTGATGCTGCTTATGATGATGGTGCTGCTGCTGATGATGCTGCTCACGATGATGCTGCTGCTGATGATGCTGGTGACGATGAGGATGATGCTGTTGATGATGATGATGCTGGTGATGATGATGATGATGATGATGATGATGATGGCGATGATGATGCTGATGCAGATGCTGCTGCTGCTGATGAGGATGGTGACAATGACGATGGCGATGGAGATGACGAGGGTGATGGTGATGATGATGGTGATGATAATGATGCTGCTGCTGATGATGATGATAAGGATGAAGATGATGTTGCTGCCGCTGATGATGATGGTGATAATGACTATGATGATGGTGATGATGATGTTGATGATGAGGACGAAGATGATGCTGAGGATGATAACGATGGTGAGGTTACTGATGATGCTGATGATGATGATGATGGTTATGCTGCTGATGATGACGATGATGATGGTGCTGATGCTGATGATGATGCCGATCAGGATGACGATGCTGATGATGATGATGATGATGCTGCTGATGACGGATTCTGATGATGCGGACGATGATAATGCTGATGCTGCTGCTGATCATGATGATGATGATGATGATGATGATGACGATGATGATCATGGTGATGATGATGCTGCTGATGATGATGATGATGGCGATCGTGATGCTGATGCTGATGACTATGCTGATGATGCTGAGGACGATGATGATGATCATGTTGAGTATGATGATGATGGTGACGATGATGATGATGATGCTGATGATGATGATGATGATGATGATGATGATGATGATGATAATGATCATGCTGATGATGCCGATGATGATGATGATGGTGCTGCTGACGATGACGCTGGTGATGTTGTTGATTGTGATGATGATGCTGCGGATGATGAGTCTGATGATGACGATGATGATGAGGATAGTGATGATGCTGCTGCTGCTGCTCATGGTGATGCTGATGATGCTGATGATGATGCTGATGATGATGCTGATGATGATGAGGATGATGCTGCAGCTGACGATGACGAAGACGAAGACGATGACGATGACGATGACGATGGCGATGACTAAGATGCTGATGATGCTGATTGTAATGATGATGACGCTGGGGATGGTGATGATCATGACGATTCTGCTGCGGATGATGATGACGATGATGCTGATGACGATTATGATGATGATGATGAGGATGAGGATGATAATGATGATGCTTCAGCTGATGACGACGAAGGCGAAGACGAAGACGATAACGATGACGATGGCGATGACTATGACGATGATGATGCTGATGATGATGGTGGTGATGATGATGACGACGGTGATGATGATGATGATGATGATGATGATGATGATGCTCATGATGATCGTGATGATGATGCTTATGATGATGATGATGATGATGATGATGATGATGATGATGATGATGATGATGAAGTTGATGATGCTGCTGCTGCTGCTCATGGTGATGCTGATGATGCTGATGCTGATGCTGCTTGTGACGATGCTCACGCTGCTGCTGATGATGATTATGCTGATGATGAGGATGCTGATGCTGCTGATGCTGCTGATGATGATGAGGATGCTGATGCTGATGCTGATGCTGATGCCGATGCCGACGCTGATGCTGATGCTGACGAGGAGGAGGAGGACGACGATGATGATGGCGATGATGCCTATTACGATGAGGATGGTGATTTTGATGAGAAGGAGGAGCAGGAGGAGGATGAGGATAGGGGATGCGATCAGGAGGAGAAGGGTGGAGGAGCAGGAGAAGGAGGAGGTAAAGGTGTATGAAGAGCACGAGAAGGATGATGTAAAGGAGGAGGAGGAGGAGGAGGAGGAGGAGGAGGAGGAAGTGGAGGAGGAGAGGAGAAGGAGAAGGAGAAGGAAGGAGGAGGAGGAGAAGGTGGAGGAGAGGGAGACGGAGACCTTGCACCCCCACGCACGTCTTGACATCCTGCCCCCCTCCCCCAGCGGCGGGCCGAGGACATGGCCCAGTACCAGCGCCAGCACGAGGACAACGTGGTCGTCGTGCACTGCAAAGCTGGCAAGGGCCGCACGGGACTGGTGGTCTTCGGCAGACGAGAAACTAACGGCGACGTGGACGACGACGGTGGCAGGACTCTTTGTTGTGATCCAGGCTCCCAGATGGGGTCCACGTAGATTGGGTCGGAGAATCGCGCCGCATCGCCGATGTATCGCCAATGCGGCTCGATGTAGAGCCAGATGCCAACGGTGCCGATGCATTGCCGACAACGCTGATGCATCGCCGATGCATCGCCACTGCATCGGCAAAGCATCGGCGATGCATCAGCGATGCGGCGCGATCCTCCGAACCCATCTACTCGGGGTTCATCTGCGAGGCCTCTATTTGAGGAACTTCTGCCGAAGGCTCACAAGTGCGCCTCCTGCCGGCGTCTGCAGCCCGACACCCGCAGGGCATGCATTGGCCAGCCTTGGGAATTTGTTAAAACGAATGTGCGCGGCGCTAGGGCGAGAGCCACATTTTGAAATCAGCCTTCTCAATCCGCTTGCAATTCTTTCAACGAAAGTACGCGGCGCTAAAACGAGAGCCACACTTCGAAAGCGACCCACCCTCTATCTGTGAAGCTGTTGCCAATTTGTAAGCTTCAGAGTCATAACCGGTTAGGACGTCTCCGGCGAAACGCCCGGCCCGCCCTTCGAGCGGCCTCGGGGTGCGACAGGGAAAAATTATAAGGAAAAGGAGCGGGAGGAGGAGGAGGAGGAGGAGGAGGAGGAGGAGGAGGAGGAGGAGGAGGAGAAGGCGGATGAGGAGGAGGAGGCGGAGGAGGAGGAGGCAGAGGAGGAGGAGGAGGCGGAGGAGGAGGAGGCCCTCAGGATCGGTCTGTCCACCTTCCTGGCGAGTCCTGGGGGCGTGGGCACGGGCCCGTCCTGGTCGGAGGAGGAGGAGGAGGCGGAGGAGGAGATGGATGAGGATGAGGATGAGGACCAGTGTAAACCCAAGAACCATCAACTATGTTGGAATACACCCTCCCTCCAAGCTCCCTCTTCTTAGG